CAGCTGGAAGCCGCAGCAGCTGCTGAACATTCACTGTCAGTTTCTGTATGCCGCATGCAACATCTCATCATCATGCCGCTCTGGTCAGAAGGGCCTGACGAGGTTTCTGCGTTCAGGGTTTTTGGGCGTGCTGCGGGATATAGGGGTCAAGGGTTTCTGGGTTTACACTCTCACAACTCGGACAAGCCAGGCGAGGATCCACAGGTGCATAAGTCGGCGTGTTTAGGGTTTATGGGTTCAGAGGTGCTTCGAGGTTTCTGATTTTGAGTTTCTGGATGTGGTTTCGTACCACTCGTAACACACCCATTCTGTCTGAAAACACGACACCACCTTGCAAGGCATTAGACGGGTTTGCAAAGCATTTTCATGTCCTGCCGCTCCCCCCCTCACGGCATGCTTTCAGAGGGGTGGTGCCTGAGGAGTCTGACATCCGACAGGACCTTATTCACATTCGCTGGATCCCCGTGGAAATTCCAATCACAATTGTTCCCAAATACAATTGCATTTCCAACCTTCACACCAGGAATAAACTGACCTATGCTCGCAGGCAGGTGCAAAGGTCTGGAATGGCAGGCAGTTGAGGTAGCCATTCAGTCTGACGTCTATGGCACAATGTAGCCACAGGCATGGAGGTCATCAAGCAGGCTTGCCTATTACAGTCACCCTCCTGCGGTGCGCAGACATCTCCACCAGCTCCAGCATCACATTTGACTTTGTTCGGAGTCTGCTCTTGACTGCCATCCTCAACTCTTCAGCTACGCAACATCTGGGGAAAAATCGGGTCGATTGAACAAGCACTGCCGCGACTGCCTTGTGCTTTGGTTTGGCCATCATGGCAGCGGTAGTGCCTGTGATGTCTTAGACCGGCTGCTTGCCTAGAAACCAAGACCTCCATGATATCCTGATATCCACAGGCTTCTATCCACAATCAAGCATACGCGTACTTTCCAAAGTCCTCGAGATCAGGACATCATCCTTGCCGAGTTCGGCTGTGCTTCGCCGTGCTGCTTTCTCTGCTAGGGCTCCCGCTCTGCTCTGTCTTTTCGTTGAACCTACACGGCGCGGTGCGCCGCTGTCTGCACCATCTCGTTTTGCCGGGATTGCTGGAATTGCCAGCCTTCTTTGTTGCGGTTTTGCAATTCCTGCAGGGGCAAGGCTCATCAACATGTCCCCCACCCACCCAGTTCCGCATCAACGATGTGATCCAAGATCAACTGCAAGTCTGCAAGCGAACGTTGTTCGTCGCCTGTGCCAGCAAGGCTACGAATACTGAACGGACTTGCCCATGCAGCGTTCAGTATGCGCCGAAGCGCCTCCAGTTAAGGTCGCATTCGATAGCATGTTGCTGAGAGATGCAAAGAATTTTTCAGAAAAAGATGATGTTGGGTTGTCCGTCATGTTTTGGGCGCAGTCTACCAATTTGCTTGCAAGGCCTGTTAGTTGACATCCATCAAAGACTTCTGTTTGCAATCGAGCGAAGGTACTTGCTGCATCCAGAACTTCTTTCCCAATTTCCGCCAGCGAGGTCCCCTCCTGCGAACGGGTCGAGATATGCTGCTAAAGTCTGAAAGTCGATTGATGCCCACCCTGGGGTTTCGCATGGACGCTTGTCTCTCTTCTGGGTCAATCGCACAATCTCCATGCACCAGATTAGTAGACTTAGTAAACGCCGTGCCAACCAGAAAGCATAAACACAATGCAAGGAACTTCAATCGGCGCTTCTGCTCTGGAGAGACGACAAACTGAACCGCGCTGGTGCATGACACAAAATGTCAGGATATGTCAGGAGTCTTAGGCAAAAAGCAAAATGCCACCAAGTGATGCTGGTGCTGCTCGCATGGAGGGCAAGTTGGATCCAAGAGCCCTGAGCCGGGGGGCCACAGTCGACGGCTTCGGCTCAGGGCTTGCGGGCATCGTGCGCTGGGTGCAAAGACAGAAGAGAGGAATTCAATCAAACGATTCCCCAGCTAAGTTCTACCCAAAACTTTCAGAGCATCCGGTAGGGTCACTCCGGTGCTCCTCCAGATGGCACGATCCAGAACGAGCGCAAAAATGCAAACACTTTTGTCCCGGAAAAAGCAGGTTGCTGCAAGCAGGCGTCTCCTTCCGCCGGAAACAGACCGGTAAGTGATCCCGCTTTTAGGGCGGCTGTTCGCACGGCGTCGAGAATCTGTACAATGGTCTTGGGACAGTATGTCATATGGCTTCAAAAACACACCGGGGCCATTCCAGCTCAAAACTTCACGAGATCCTTCCACTCCTCGGCCGACATTGAAACCACAACGCTGAGTCAGCGTCGCTGACTTCCGGACTTCGAATGACCGACGGGAATACCCTCTTCACACCCAGGCAACCCAGGTAGCGGACAGCCCTATATCCCTTCAGGAAAACAAGCACCCCGGCTCCAACTGCGCCCGAGGGCCTTCAGCAGCTCCTTTGCGGCCTCAAAGTCCTGGGAGGCTCGTCCCCACTCCTCGGAGCCACAAGGTCGAAGCATGGACGCATTCAACAGTACTCGCTCTCTCTCTCTCTCTCTCTCTCTCTCTCTCTCCCGGCATGTCCATGCACTTCACCTCTTCTCTAGCTCTACACATGTCTCCAGGTGTATGTGTATGTTTATGTACTTGCAGAGAGAACACTGCTGTAAGGCTGCAAGGGAATTTTGTATAGGCAGGCTCATATAACCTCTGCCAACTCCCTCTGTGCCCACTCCATACGAAAGTCAAGACTCCTTGTTGCGGCCATCCACACCCACAGTGGAGATCTTCTGCGAGAATTCTCGGGCCTTGTTGTAAGCCGGGGAACCTTCGGCACCAGAGAAGTACACCATGTCCTGTCGAAGTTTTCGTGCGAGTCGGAGTTTGCCTGGGGCCTGGCACAGCCATGCCTCGCTGCCGCCACTAACAACCCACAACACCTCCGGGTGAAAAGGCACAGTGCTTTCTGGTGAATCGACTGCTTCTAGTGTCAAGCTTGGTTACTTCACTAGGATTTGCGTGAAACGGCTGACTATTGCTAAGACCGGGCGGATGCACAAACTCAGCAATGGAGTTGTGACCCCTCGAACGCCCCGTCAAAAAACTCTGCAACTAGTAGATAGTCGCGTGATACAGGGGGAGTTAAGTAAGCAGATTCCCCGGCCTGCCAAACATGCCAAGTTCTAACGCGGAATTTCTTGACCCGACCGCTTGCATGAATGACGAGAAACAGAGAGACAACACCTGAGAACATTGAACCGTACACCTAGTACACACCAAACCTCAAGCACTACAGCCGTCATACTCTGAAACCGTTTACAGCCAAAAAGGCCAACCAAGATCGTAAGACCGATGATGCTCAGGCCGTTTACCGCCACATTGACTCCGACAGCTCAACCCCTTCAAAACCGAAATGCTCTATTCCACCTACAGCTACAAGCATTGAACCAAAAACCAAGACATAAGTACGGAAGTGGTAGCACAATCGAACCGCCTAGTTACGCACCCCAAACCTCAAGCACTGAAGATGCAAGTACTGTCCCAACGCCGTTGACAGCCACATTGCGTCGTGTAACACACTAAAGCCGTTTCAAGCTGCTCTGAAGCCTGCGCCCTTAAGCTGAAGCCTGTCCGGCCTTAAGCCTCAGACCGGCTTCTAGAATGGCTTGAAGCTCTCTGAAGCTCTTGCAGCCGAAATCCTGAAAACCGGGAGTCTCTGTGTTAAGCCGCGTGAATCCGTATGAACCCCGCAAACCTGGAGACCAGAGCGCGAAAACCCGGCTTTGCCAGATGAGTCCGGTCCTGCTTGAAGCCAGCAGCCTCCTGGAGGTTGGAGGTCAGCTGCTGCGACTGCTTCGTCTTGATGTAAAACTGGCGACATCGAGGGCTGTCGGATGCTTGCTTCGATTGGCGCTTGGACTTGCAGGATCCGGGGGAGGCTCGTAGGGTCTAGTTACTCTGGTTGGTAGGCGTATGTAGGCGTGTTGGACCTGCAACAGGTGCGGTCAAGACTTTCTGGCTGTGGGCTTAGTACGTCATTTTGGCTCGAGGGTGATTGTGGTGATTTCGGCTCAGCCAGAAGGGTCCACGGACCGTTTCTCATCAAACCACTCAAGCAAGGATGTTAGCCGTTAAATGCATGCCGTTTGCGTTTCGTTCTCTTGTCTGTGGCGGGTGCTTGCGCCAAACAGACGTCCAAGCAGGCATGTGGGGATGGGGTGTATGCTTCGGGGTAGGTTTCGGGATATGTTTCGCGGCCAAGTTTGGAGGGTATCCAACTTCACCGTCAGCCATTATCACTAGCCATTTAAGGCTCAGGGTGCTTACAGTAGTAGGTAACTAAACCCCGAACACTAGCAGGTGTTTTCGGTGGCTTATGGGGATTGCGCAGGGCATGCGTAGACCCAGGGCAAAACCTCGCCTTAAAGCCCCCAGAGCCATGCATAATTGAAGCATTAGTAGCAGGGCTTCTGGTAGAGGTGCGTTCGTTTTGGGTTCAGGGATTGGGGCTGGGGCCTGCAGCCATTGGGGTGCAAAGTGGCACAAAGACGTGACTTCATGACTTTAATTTGCGTGCTCGGCCCGCCACCCAGCAACGGCCACCACTTACTCCAACAACGTTGGGGGTATGATTCGCGAATGAAGCAGGTATGATTCAGGATATGTTTCTCAGGCCACATCGTATAGTGGCTGAACGATTGTAACTTGTTTCTTTGGTGATGCTGGAAACTCCACTGCCAGCAGTACTAGCACCGTACTAGTACTAGTAATAGTCGCAGTCGTAGTAGTAGTAGTAGTAGTACAGTAGTAGTAGTAGTAGTAGTAGTAGCAGGAGTAGCAGTAGCAGTAGCAGTAGCAGTAGCAGTAGCAGTAGCAGTAGCAGTAGCAGTAGCAGTAACAGAACCAGTAGTAGTAGCAGCAGCAGGAGTAGTAGCCACCATCGTCATCACCGT